GAGAAGCTCATTGAGGTAGCTCGGCGCCAAATTATTAATGGTTTTGTAGGTGAAAAGTAATATTTTGAATTGAATACGGTATTTAATTGGAAGCCAGTGCAAGCCAGCAAGAACAGGAGTGATGGAAGAAAACTTCCTGCTACCTGTCAAAAGGCGTGCCGCCGCATTCTGGACAGTCTGCAATCTAACGAGAAGGGTGGAGGAAAGGCCAATGTAAAGAGAGTTGCAGTTGTCCAACCTGGAAGTCACGAATGCATGAATGAGTTTTTCCAGGTCAATGTGCGGAATATAGCGCTTAGCCTTAGAAATGAGGCGCAGCTGATTAAAACTAGACCTCACAACAGCAGACACTTGCTTGTCAAATTTAAGCGAGCTATCCAGTAGTATGCCCAAATTACTGGCATAATCAGAAGGAGAGCTAGCAAAAGGCATCAGAGCAGCACACAGTTGGTCACGGGGGATTTTACTATCAAACACCACGATCTCCGTTTTCTTTTCGTTCAGGACAAGTGAATTACTCTTGAACCAACCTTTAACCTCACGCATGCATTCACGAAAATAGTGAAAAGACATAGCAAGATCGTCAGTAATCTCAAAATAAATCTGTATATCATCAGCATAGCAATGAAAGGCAAAATTAGACTTCTCAAAAATTGCTCCAAGAGGGAGCAGATATAGCGAAAAGAGAATAGGGCCTAATACAGATCCTTGAGGCACACCACAGTGTACAGGTACCGAGGAAGATGAGAAGTTGCCCAAATTAACCGAAAAAGACCTGTCAGCAAGATAAGATTTAAACCAGTTGAGGGCAGTGCCTCTTATACCCACAGTATGCTCAAGTCTTAGTAGAAGAATGTTATGATCAACCATATCAATAGCAGAGGAAAGGTCCAAAAAAACCAGGACCACAGAGCGTCCAGAGTCAGTGCTTACAAATAGGTCATTGAGAACTCTAAGCAAGGCCGTTTCAGTGCTGTGCCGTGGCTTAAAGGCAGACTGAAATTTCTCTGCAATGTTGTTCGCGTCTAAGTATGCCTGAAGCTGAGAAAGAACTAGTCGCTCCAGGATCTTGGAATGAAACGGAAGCTTAGAGATTGGTCGATAGTTCAAAAGATCATAACAATCAAGATTCTTTTTTTTTCAGAATAGGCTGGACTACAGCATGCTTAAAGGCCAGTGGGACACATCCAGAGAGTAGAGAAAAATTCATTAAGAATAGAATGCTCGGTCCAATTACATCAAAACAGCCCTTAACAATGCGTGATGGGAGAATATCAAACACAGCATTGGTGTTTTTCAGTTGATCAACCAGCTGCTTCAGAGTCGAAAGCGACACGGGCTCAAATTGATGAAAAGTTGAATTACACTCAGAGGAAAAGACAGGATAAGAGGCAGACGAAGAGGAAAGCTTAAGGGATGAAACCTTATCTAAAAAAAGAATTTGAAAACGCTCACAAAGAGCTTGTGAATACAGTAAAGGCATATCAGGACAGGGATTAACAACAGAATTAAAATTTTTAAATAGCATACGAGGGTTGTGACCATTAGCCAAAATGACTTTGGAAAGAAAAGATGCCTTAGCCATTCTAGCAGCAGTTTGAAACTGTGAGCGGCTGGTCCATAACATATCATAAGAAACCTGAAGTTTATCTTTTTTCCACCTCCTCTCATCACGGCGACAGACACGTCATAAGGCACGTGTAGTATCATTTAGCCAGCAACGAGAGTAGGCTCTAGGGCGCTTCATTTTGATGGGAGCAACAGAATCAAGAATAAAAGAACAAACAGATAACAGGATATTAGCACAACCATCAACCGAACAGAGAGAACAGTCGTCAGGTACAGCCAAATCAGAGATAGATGAAAATAATGATAGCAAAGTATCAGCATAACCATCAGATGAGCGAACTGAGCAGCAGTCAGGAATTATAGGCGCCAAATCTAAAAAAGACACAGCAAACTTTGACACAGCTTCAGAGCTGAGTACGCGTAGCGGACGAGAAAGTGCTCCAGGCTGCAGTCCAGCGGCAGATAAGCCAATATCAAAGGAAATTAGAAAATGATCTGAAATCCCAGCGTCATTTATATCCTTAATACAAATATCCAGGCCATACGTAAAGACCAAGTCCAAAATATGGCCTTTAACGTGGGTTGGTTCATTTACCCATTAAAGGAGGTTAAAAGAGTCCATTAAAGCAAGAAAGTCTTTAGCAAGCAGGTCATTCTTACAACAGATGTGTATGTTAAAATCACTAAGAATAAGAATGGAATCATATTTAAAAAGAACGGAACCCAAGAAGTCGGGAAAGTCCGAAATAAAACACTTGTTATATTTTGGCGGTCGATAGACCAACACACATAAAGTGGTCGTGGAAGCAGTCATCTCCAATAACTGGACTTCAAAACTAGCAAAGTTAGAATGGTTGGCGATATTAAAGTCCTGTTTGTGGCACATTAGTATATGTGAGGGGGCAAACTCATCAAGATGGGTGGTGACCATGGTGGCCATTTAGAAGTCGGCCATCTTGGATACAACTTTTCAATAGAAAGAGGGCCATGTGACACATCAAACTTATTGGTAATGTCACAAGAAAAACAATGGTGTGCTTGGTTTCAACGTAAATTTACTCTTTCATGAGTTATTTACAAGTTTCTCTTTGTTCACAGCCATTGACATGTCGAAGAGGTTAACACGTGAGGAGTGGATCGAAATTGTGTTGATATCTGGTGAACGCAGTCATTGCAGCAGATTTCAATGCAAGACACCCTACGAGACCACCCATCTCCCATGCTACAGTTAGCAAACTGCTTGCTAAGTTTCGTGAAACTGGTTCAGTGTTGGATTTGCCAAAATGTAGAACTAAGAAACCAGCATTGGACTAAGACTCATTACTAGAATATAGATAAGACAGGAACAAAATACTTAATGTTAGAAAAACTAGTATTAATAGTATATATGAAATAGTAGACTTTCAATACATAAACTAAAACAGCAATTAGAAACTCAAACTAGCAATAAATAACGAATAACGTAGAAAACAAACTCGATAACTTTAAAAAATCACCTCAAACTTACACATCATTGTTTACACATCAGTTTGAGGATATAGCAGCTAATATAGCTTCATTGTGCTTCATGACAACACAGCAATCTCTTGAAATAGGAACAGGAAAAGTCTTGTAAGTGCTCAGTAGTTAGTGCAATGCTTGTCTTTGTGTTCCTCTCTGTAGTTCATGCTTGTATTTATCCAATTCATGGATATTTCGGTGAATGAAATACAATAAGTTAAGTGTTAAACAAGTGAAGACAGTCAGGCTATATTTATTCACTTTGATGTGTTGTGCTCTTAAAGAAATAAGCTCTGTGCTCATATTAAGGGTTTCATTAAATTTTTCTGGCAAGTGGCTCAAGTGACTATAATAAGAAGAATGTGTCCTATTAAAGAAAAATGTCAAGTTTTCCACTCACACTTAAGGAAAGAACTCAGACGTAGGTGCTTAGCAGCTAAATATTCACTGCTTTTAAGTTTGTTACTGTTTCACACCAGAAAAAAAGTGTTGCCCCTGTATGTCTTTCCAAGTATTTATGAGGAAAAACCATCAAAAGTCTTTATACTTAATGTTGAACTGGGTTGGAAGCCACTTAGTAGTGAGTAACAGGCTGGTTCCTCCTTCGCAACTTGGCCATTAAAATCCAGCCCTGTCTCGGTTGTAATGGGAAACATCTAAAAGCCTTTGGCTGGGTGGAATATGCAGAGCTTTGGCTGTAGCATGAGCTGAAAACTGGCAAAGCTTACCTCTCTTATTTGGATTAATATCCCCTGCACCTGTCTTCTGGGAAATTAATGGGTGTTACTGTACACTCAAAAAAATGAATGAGGTGGATTGTTCAGTGTATATTAATTATTTATTTTCATTTTACTTAAAATATATGTTTTTGTTAAGTTAACATATGTTTTTCTAATCAAGTCTACGTAATTGTGTCTATTATTCAACGTACATAATACTAATGTGTTACTTGATCGCATAACATTTAAGTTAAGTCAATTAGGATCGATATACCTTGTATATCCACAAGGTGGCAGTAATGCAAAAACAGTTGTAATGAAACCGCGCAGAACAAGAAGGTTTCACGGCTTGTGCCTGCTCATGCGCAAGACTTCAAATTTAACTGAAAAAGGCTGTTTTGGCGCCAAGCTACTGTTTCTTTGAGAGGTAAGACCACTTTTTTTCTTTGACTATGTTGTGTAGTATCTATATGTCCAGCATGGTTATATTTTGCGTTTGTCTTACAAGACATGTTATATCGTTTGCGTGCGCTTGTTTTACATTAGTTTTACTGGGTCCTGGACATGCTTATTTTGTGGACTGTGTAAGAAACATTTTTATTGTTTTTTGTTTTATTAAGGGATTAGCTACAGGGGTTCATGGGGTTATTCTTTCAAGGGGTTATTTTTCCATTTGCTTTCTTGGGATTCCTTTTCTGTAATCCGAGAGTCGGAAATATCGAATAGGATAGCAAGGATAGCATAAAGTGACATTTAAAATCCAAAAAGTCAAGGGCGAAAGCCACTGTGACACCATTATTCTGCTCTATCAGTAATCTGTATTATGTAAAAATGGTCTGTAAATACAGCATGTTTCCTAGCGGAGTTATACATATCAATGTAGTTATAAATTACAGTTTGTGAAAGTACACACTTACTTTTTTAAATAAAATTATTCAAGACATATGAGTGGACAGACAATGGAGGTCGACAGACCTGGTGATAATTGCTTCTATAGAAAGTTAGCACATGGCAGTGTCAATCTCTTGCTTTTCTTCTGAGTAGTATTTTATTTAGTTGTAATTCAAACAATAATTTGCTTCTTGAAATTAAGTAATGAATTTCTTGTTTTACTTTATAAATCTCAGATCCTGCCTTTACCTGCTCCCTCCTATACTGATGTGGTGTATGTGGTATTGCTGAGCTTGTGTGTGGTATGTGAACTGTTATACTTTTAAAAACAAAACTGTTTTATAAGTTAAGTTTTCTTTTGTGACCCATCCCATGCCCCTGTTATTTCTTCTCCACATCTGAACCATGGTAAAGGTTGCAGTTCAAGGGCCTGAGGCATGAAATTCTTTTCAGATCAGCTGTGATCAATATTTTTTGGAACTTGATAAATAACAATAAAAGCTGTAATGGCTCCATTAGCATTTTGTGTAAATGTTTGTGTTAAAATTATAGCTTTAATGAGGTCTTACTACATTAGTTTTAGTTTGTATATGTGTACATATAGTATGTATATTTACAGTACAGTATGTTGTGTTTGTTGACATATTTTCAGGTGGAAGCAGAATATGTGAGGATTACTACTGCTGCACATGTTCCAAGGCTTTTTACACAACTTGACCAATACACTGACCAGCTCATAAAAGTCTTCAAGAAAAAGGAGGCGTTGCAGGGAAGAAAATTAGACAAACTTTGGCCCCAGCCACACAGGTGCGTTATTCTGTTGGTAGCAAAATATTATGGCTAATAAGATCATTTTCAAATTTAAACAGCTAGTGTATGGTAGCTGCACAGTGCACTTACATTTATATTAAGCAAGACAAAGTTTGGTACTCAAAACGTTGGAAAATTTAAATTACCTAAACATATGTAAAATCTGATCCCTTGATTTAGGTTAAACCAGAAGTGAATGTTTTTATGTTATGTTTTGAATGCAAAAAAGATGATGTATTAGTTTGTCTTTACCTCCATTATGGACATATATAATGTGGTGGAAACCCTGCCCAACAGGTTAACTATTCATGTCCATGTGATGATTAGTTGGTCTTGTGTACATGTCTATCTGTGCAGTGGATATGTCATTCATTTTGCGTATAATGTGAGTTTCTGTCATCCTAAAGTATATCTGTTTTCTCTTCCTGTATCTCTGCCACTCTCTACAGAAGGAAAGTATTGAAAAGGGGAGGGAGTGTGTCCTCAGGGCACTACCTTTTTACCTGAATGAAGACCCAAGCATCCTCTTCAAAGAATAATTGGTTGGTAATTTTAGTTTAGTTTTTTATCTGTATTAAACCAAATTTTGAATAACTAATGTTGTTGCATGTTGTTGTTGTTGTAATTTGCATGGAACCTGTTTAAATGTTTTGGGAAATCTTCTTGTATACCCAAACTATTTATATTTATCGTTGAATCTGTAGTCTGAAATAGTGGCACACTGGGGTGCATGTTCCTAATATTGTGTTTACGTCATTAAAGGGTAGCTTTGGCCCTTTTTCTTTCTTTTTTTAAAACTGGATGCCATTTTTCTATGTTTTTGTGTCTAAGCTACAGCTGTTCAGAGGGAGCTGGAACAAATTACCCTTGCTATCTTTACCATCGAAAGAGCTGATGCCAGCACTCCTCCAGCCGATGTGGGTATAACCATCTAGTGTGCCCTGCATGACCTGGAAGACCTGGCCTCTGCATGTGCACTCTTAATGGGTGGGATATATGCACTGAATCTCAGTTAACCTCAAGACTGAAAGCTTTCTTTGAAGTACTTCAGAAGCTCTTCCTTCATCTGTATGTCAGCATACTCTTGACCAAGGTACAGTTGCTCAAGAATACACTGAATGAATAAGCCAACCTTTAATTTGGATGATGAATGTTCTGTCAGATGGACAGAAGTTTTTCGGAGGCTGAATGGGAATAAAATGGTAATTTGTAAATGACAGATAACGGGAAAATTACATTTAAGAGAAATTTAGAACATTTTGAAAAGTTTGTAAACTACTACAATTTGAGAGATTTTACTGTTGTGGGGGGCTAGTAAGAGACATTCAAAAGTTTTGAGATTTAAAGGATTTAATTGAGAGATGATACTGCACCAGAAATGTTGAAGGGTGGTGTGTATATTAGCGTTCAAGGCATATTGTTATGAGGTGGAAATATGTTCATATTCAGTTTGTGTTACATTGTGTGCATTGTAAAGGTAATTGCAATACATACTAAAAATAAGGGTAAGTTAGGAGGTTGATCTGATATCCTCGTGTTGGTGTTGTTCCCAGATCATCATACTAAATGTTGTTCCAGGATCAACATTGCAAGTGACCAATCAGAATGTTGTGACGTCATACTTTTGCGACTTCGGGAAAAACCGGCGTAAAACAAAAAACTGTACTTAAGCTGCGTGAAACCGCCTCTGTCCGCCGATCAACTGACCCTAACCCTAACCGTAACCCTTTAATAAACAGTAAGCAGAATTGATATTGTCCTTGCAACATTGGAATTTCATAAATGCACGAATGGCTTGGCGCGCAAAAGAATAACGTCACAACAATGTGACAACATTTTCATGATGGTCTGGGAACAACACCAACACGAGGATATCAGATCATCCAAGTTGGGAATGCAGGATGAATGTATATTTTGTGGACTTTTAAAGACGAACAATTGTTTCCATGTTAAAATGTTTACATCTGAAGTTTTTTGCCCAAACACTAGTAAAATAAATGTTGACAGTGGCAAGTGTTAAATGGTTACTGCTGTGCTGTTGCAAAAAAACTGAACGCTGACAAGCTGTTTTATTGTTAGACCATAATGTTGGCATGTTTTGTTAAAGTTTTATTTGGGATGGTGATGTAATTTTCTTTGATTGCTAATATCAGTGGACTATTTATTATTATTATTATTATTATTATTATTATTATTGTTGTTGTTGTTACATAAATTTTTTTTAAAATTGTGGCTGTTGAGGTGGACACTTCACTTTGCATTGTTAAAGGAAAGCACTTCATTGGCATTGTGTTACTGGACTGACCCTAAGCAATCATTGCAAATAGCAACTTTGCTATCCATTTTAGACACTAAAAGAAAAAAACACTCACAGACCTTACTAGCATCACATGTGCATAACTCAAGTGTCATCTTATCAATGTGTTATGTGATCTTCAATGCGTTTTTTTTTTCTCTTCTATTTCTGGTAGATACAGACATTTAATTTAAAGTCTTGATGTTGCATCTGTCTACATACTGTTAATTACTAACCCTAATGAGCTGTTGTGTTTTATTTTGGACTGGGTTTACACAAATGCTCACTGAATGTGTTGGCAATAAAAGAAATTTTAAAAAATAAGTTGGATGTACTTAATTCATTTGTGTGGAACCTGTTGACAAAATAGATTTATGTAAAACTAATTAATAAAGCACAAGGTGGCTGAAAATATAATATTTGAATTAATCTAACTTAAATTTAACATTTTACTGCCACAAATAAGAAATGTGTTGAAGTAACTAATCTAAACTATCTAACCTGAAAATATATCATCTTTGTTCATACAACATAACTTGATTTAGTTAGTCTTAAATATGTCTTGTTAATCTTAAGTAGTTTTTTTAAATTAGATGAACTAAAGATTTTTGCTTTAAACTAACATAATTCAATTTCGTGGAACCTGTTGACAAAATAATTTTAATTAAAGTCAACGTTTCATTTTTTTGAGTGTAAGCAGCCTTCTTTCTTCCTCAAATCTTTTCTGCTGATTTCTCACTTTCTTGACCCCTTCTGCCAGTTCTTTTTACCTCTCTCTGTTGTCCTTCCATACTTTCCCTCTGTAGATTAATTGCTCAGTGATACCATATGTTAAAGAGTGCTGAGCTCCCCTACCCAGCTGTTTGAAACCTGAGTAGTCAGCAGAATTTAGCTGCCTGGCCCTCACTTGCCACTTCTTATGCATTTGCTCCTTCCGTTTCCAGTCCTCTTCAATGGACCTCCTTCTGTCTTTTATCCTTCTCACTTGTGTGCTGCTTTCTTTGCAATATTCCCAGCTAGAAATGTCATGATGTGGCCAGTTTTAGTTTTATGATTACTTTTACTGTTGCAACCTAAACATTAAAAAAAATGTTTTCAAGACAAAAAGTTTATTTTTGCAGATTTCTACAGATTATATAGGAACAAAATATCTTTACCATTTCTCTACAGGGGAAGTGAGGCCAGCTAAAGAAGAAAAGCAAAAAGGCGGTTGGTCCAAATGACATAGTTGTTCATGTATGAGGTGTAGATTTTTTGAACAGGTTGTTTAACACAGTTCTGGAGAGTGAGAGGATGCCTGAGGAAAGCAAAGGAAAGATGGCTGGTACTGATTTTCATAAAATGGGTGATGTGCAGAGCTGTAGCAAAAAGGGATAAAGCTGATGAGCCACACCATGAAAATGACAGACTGTTGAAGCTGGGTTAAGAAGAGAAGTGACAATTGGTGAACAGCAGTATAGTTTCATGTTGCGAAAGAGTACTACAGATGTGATATTTACTTTGAGAGTGCTGATGTAGAAGTATAGTGAGTGTCAGGAGTGGCACTGCGTCATTGTGGATGTAGAAAAGACATGCATGTGATAAGGTGTCAGTGAGCAGCCTGGGAGGAGAAAAGAATGAAGACCACAGAGAAGATTTACGATGTAGTAAATGAGGACATGCAGAGGGTTGATGTGACAGAACAGGTTGCTACCATACTGTACCATCTTCTTGTTTTGGCAACCTGTAAAGTGATGAGCCAAAAGAACAAGAGTAATCTAGATATTGCATTCTTGTATTAAAAGTAAATAATTATTATTCTAAAACTTTCACAATTAACTTGTTTGAATGAGTTCAGATCAATTCTGCTGTTTTCCTTTTAAAATCAGTTCCAAATCAGTGCCTAGTTAGCATAATATTTGCCATTTAACAAAAAGGTTTTATCATTTTATTTCTTGAGGAAAAACCAATACAATGCCTCAAAATAGCTGATTAATTGCTTTCCTTTGCCAATCAAAATGACACATTTAAAGGCCTTATTGGCTCTGCAAAGTTGTGATTGGCATTAACTGAATGATTGCAAAATAACCACCAAGTCAACAGATAATGAAAATAATTAATTGCAGTACTTCAACAGAGGCTGTCACGTTTGTTCTTTACTATGTTTATTGTGTATGACCCAACAGTTAATTGCTTTGTGTAGAGTGATGATAAAAGAGGCCTCTCTTTTGAACTGTTATTGTTTGTGCATCCTTGCCGTGGTTTGATTTTTAGAGGCTTATTGGGTTCCCTAACGTGATGGTAATTAGAATATTTACATTTTTTTTACTCTGGAAATTTCAAGTCCTTTACATGCTGCACCTACAGTCAGAAGTCACCAAATCATGTCTGAGAGTTACTACAAATATTTGTGCATTACTTTAACTCATATACATAACAAGGATAAACAAATTTCAGCATAATTCATAAAATAAGATTACCTTCCATGTTAGAAGATGGCCTTGTGTGTGATTTGTGACCGCACACAGGGAAGTGAATGGGAAATGAGTGACTCTCTGCTGAGAGTGTGTGAGCAGTAACATTATCAGCTGATTGCCACAGCCGCTGTGAAGTGCATGCTGACAGGGTGATTAAGTTATTTAAATCGGTTCCATATACTCTATTGCCTAGATAGGACAAACCTTTCAAAAAATGAAAAAGAAGGTCTAGTGTCTTTTTGCATATATGGTCCAAACACAAGGTTACAACTGTGAGCCTTTGCTAGTGTGTGGGTTAAAGTCATGATAAAACAAAAGGTTTTATGTGTGTATGACAACAAAAAAAGGCCAGCCCTTACCAAGTCTTGAAATTATAACAAAAATGGAACCAAAATGCCAAAGCAGCGGGTGGAATTTCTAATTTTATTCAATTTGGGTTTATTTATTGATCGGGGACCATTCTTAATTTCGTTGTTCTCATGACAATGACAATAAAGTTTCTGATTGATTCTGATTATTTAGCACCTAGATCTAGTTGCCTCAAGGCACTTTATATTGTCAGATAAGGACCCTACAATAACACAGAGAAAACAGAAAAAACCCAACAGTCAGAATACCGCCTATGTGCAAACATTTTGGTGACAACTCCCTTTTAACAGGATGAAACCTCTGGTAGAGGTTTCACAGAAGAGGGGCCTGAAAGCCGAAGGCTCTGCTTCCCACTATTGTCATGGTTTTGGGTCATTTTGACACAGCATTTTCAGTTTCTTGTATTTTGGTGTTTTTTATGTATTATGGTTTATTTTCTGATTCTTTAATTGTCCTGTTTTTAACATTATAATCCTAAGTTTCCATGTTGTTCTGGTTAAGAGTTTTGTTCTCAAGTTTTAGATCAGTGTCTAGTCTGTGTCTGTCATGTTTCCTGTTTTACTTTGAAAGTCTCATATGTTAGCGTATCCAGTGTTACTCTCCCCTGTGCTATCATCATGTTTCATTCGAGTCAGCTGTGTCCTCATGTGTCTCCAGTTCTCCTGATCACCTCACATGTGTATTTAAGTGCTCCGTTTCCCTTTGTTCATTGTCATGTCATCTGTGTTACCTGCCACCATGTCATCACAGTCAGAATCTTCACAATCTTTGTAGTTGAGTCTTAGTTTCTCTAGTTTAGTTTAGCCGCTGTCCCTGCTGTCATGCCACCTTGTGTCAGCCATAATAAAGGCTTGCCTTTTGTTTAAAGTTCAGTTTTTTCTAGAGATGGCACGATACCACTTTTTTATGTCTGATACCGATACCGATATCATAAATTTGGATATCTGCCGATACCGATATGAATCCGATATAATGTTTTTTAATCAACAAAACTGTTTTTTAAATATCTTGCTGCATTTTGTATAAGTTCATACTCAAGTTTAAAACAACAACTACACTAAAGCTATTCTGTTATACCTGTATGCAAAAAAAATATTTCATAGTTCAGCAATACTGATCAATCTAATAAACTTAGACCTACACCATCCTCCCTATTCTGGTATTTTAAAGAGTACTTAGCATAAATATTAAGCAACCTAACTAATAGGGTTCCAACTCCCAGCAACAACAAAAATAAATAAATAAAAAATAGGGAACCACCCCTCACGCTCCACCTCATGATGCTTAATCGACGTAATCAACCTTAATTTGATGCAGTGTGAAAAAAAAATGCACAGAAATCAATTATTTTTCAAGAAATATTAAATAGATTCAACATCTTTCTTCAACAAAATTGCAGACTGCACAGATGGTACCTTCCCAAAGGAAAA